GGGAGGATGGGTTAGCCTGGTGATGGGTATTAAAGAGGGCACGTTCTGTATGGAGCACTGGGTGTTATGCACAAACAATGAATGGAATTTAAGAAATAAAAAAAAAAGAGACAAAGCAAAAAAAAACAGAAGGGAACAAACTGATGTTACTGGGGGCAGGTAAAATAGATGAAGGAAATTAAGAGTACAAGGAAGGATCCTTTTCTTTGGGGCCTCAGGAGTAAAGGAAAACAGAGACCATGAAAAGGGCAAAGCCGTGGGTGCTTACTCCTCTGGAGGCTCTCATCTCCCCACTGGCCTCACAGAACTTGGAGGCAGCCACACACTTCTCAGAACAATTCCTTCACCTCTTTCTCACAAGTGTCACTGATGCACAGACTTAAAACCGTCTTTATGAGGTGAGTGGACAGAATTACAATTAAACTCTTTATTGTGAGGCTCAACCATGTGGCTTGTGTTTAAAGAAACTCAGCATCTTTCCTTGTGAAAAAGGAGCTCTGAGAAGAGCTTATTCTCTCTCCCAGAGGGATTCTTTCCCTGGGAGAATAAGGAAGGGATCAGACTTACGCAGGCCAAGACCAGGGAAGGGAAGGAAGCTCACTCTGTCAGGAGAGGCCCCCTTTCCCAAGGCCCTTTCCCTGACTTCATTGTCAACCTTCCCCTGCCTCCACCCCGCTCCTCCGGCAAAACTCCCCACCCTCCTCTCTCTGCTCTCCTCCAGCTCCCAGCCAGCCTGCCATGTGGGAGAAGGTCTTGGATAACCCTCACCTAGCCTCCGCCTACACTGAGCAAAGCCAAACCCTGAAGCCACGAAGGTGAGGACAAAAGGAACCACCACAGGTTAGTACATATTTAACCTTCTTCAACAATGCATTTCACTCATCCAAATCCCAAGCTCTGGTTGGTGGGAAGAAATGAGACTCAATACAAAGAACATGCAACCTTTTAAGATCACAGTTTAATGGACTTACAGAGAGAATGAGCAAATCTCTTAGAAATTAAATCCACTCAGTGGCTATTAAATCATCCAAGCACCCACATTACCATCTGGCACCATGCCTCTTTCTTTTATCATGGGATAATATAGATGCTATAAAACAATCAACAGCCTTTTCTAGAAGGTTTTGCTTAACATTTATTGTTACCCTCGCTTATTTGCTTTGCCTGGACCTCAGCCCACAGTCTATTAGAGAATCAAAGGCCAGGCAAAAAGGAAATGACTCTTCAATCCATTCCTTCACGTGCCAAGAGCTTTATCCTTTGATTCTTGGTGAGATTACCATAAGGTTACCACAAAAAGTCAAGGCAGCTATTGAAAAACTGCAAGGCAGTAAAACCATAGGTTTATTTATTTGTTCCTGAAAGGGTTAGACCACCTAAATCACTATTTAATTGCAAAGTACTCATTAGAGGTCTTTTTTTCCTTTTTGAATGCAGGACAGCCAGTGATGCGCCTTTGGGAGATAAGCCTTGGGGGTAAAGGGAACTTGTGACTTGAAGCTTCTTCAGACTGAACACAACTGTCATCTCTTCTACAGCATGATCTCTACTACACCTTTGTTTTATGAAATAGGTTCATGATAGGGTATAGCCTGATCCTCTCCACAGAGTGAGGGCAACAGATCCCACAAAATGGACATGACAATTGGTAGATTTCTGAATCTCTGGCTATTTTTCTCCTGCATGAGTTCTTCAGAAATCTAAATGGCGACCCTTAAAGGGCAAGAATCATGTCTCAACAATATCCTCCCACCCCTTACCATTTTCCATATTTTAAATAATAAATGACTGCAGAGTGAATGAGTGTGTTCAGGCCTTAAATTCACACCCATCTCTAGGCTGTGCTAGGTCTCTCTTCTAAAAGCCTGCTATGCCCTGAGAAGATAGACTTCTGATCCTTAAAGGGATAAGGGAGGATGGCTGTTCTGACCAGCTATGTGACCCTGGGAGGCATTTCAACACTGTGGGTCTCAGCATCTCCATCTATTACATGAAGGGGTGGGACTAGTGGATGTCTTAAATGTGCTTCAGCTCTTTAATTCTGAAGACAAACAGAACACTACAACATCTTCTACAAGGTCAGTAGGAAAACATTCCCTCCAAGAAAATTTTAGTAAGAAAATTTAGTAAGAAGCCACTATCATATTTTAGTCCCTGGTTTCAAAAACCACTCCAGAGAGACCTAAATTAGCCATATTTTTGTAGCATTCTAGTTTTAGGAGAAAAGGGAAATACGTTTAGGGATGAGCACATCTTCCCTTCAGACTTTTATTGTACTCAATCTGCATACATATTCTAGCCCAGACAGAGAAAACGGATTGAAAACAGTGGCCTTAGAGCACTGAGAATACCTCAGCTATCAAGGGAAGAGTTAAGATTATGTGAAGTTTATTCTACACTATGCTTAAATTAAGAAGGTCCACATGAGGGGCACCTGGCTGGCTCATTTGGTAGAGTGTGGCACTCTTGATCGCGTGGTCATGAGTTCGAGCCCCACGTCAGACTAAAACATAAATAAATTTTTAAAAAGCAAGGTTCACGATCATGTGAACTTGAAAGGACAATAGGGTTTTTTCAATTTCCAAATATGTAAATTACCTTATTAAATCAGGGTTGGCCTAAAAATTCTAGAGAGCACCCTCTTGTGGCAAAAAAAAAAAAAAAAAATGCAATCACTGAATGGCAGTTTTGTCCCAAGATTGCACCTACTGGGCAAAAAGGACCTGCCGTTCATTGAGCACTTACTATATTTCAAGGACTGGCCCAGATATTTTATGTGGTAATAAGATAAAGGTTTTAATAAAGGCAGTTTTCAATGTCATGGAGAGAATTGGAAGTCTTTTATTTCACAGAGCCCAAGCTACACCTTAAGATTTATGTCACTAAGATATTAGGGATGGCATCTAGCCTTAGCACATTCTCCAGCACCTTTCCTACACCTGTTTGCAGTTCTGAGCTGTGGTTGAGAAACCATATATTTACCTTTTGTTTTCAACTCAGAGCCCCTAATTTCAAGTTGACAAAATGAAGAGATAAGAGCAAAAAGGAAGCAATACTTTTTTAAAAAGAAAGAAAGAAAGAGAAAGAAAGAAAGAAAAAGAAAGAAAGAAATGCAAACAACAACAACAAAAACCCCACAGCTCCACAACTCAACACCTTATAAAAATCCTCATGAGCCCAGGGATCTTTCAATTCAAACAAAATTACTTAACATCCGTGATTTGAGAGGCATTTAATAAACAAAAAAACCAGAAAAACATTTATATGATTACAGTTTGTATTTTTCAGTTATATATATCATCCTCAGACCTTTCAAACGTCTTGTTTCTTATACAGTGAATTTCTGTACTTAGCACCTCACCTGATAAAATTGATGTTCATTTCCCAAAAGGGCTTGCTAAACATGACCGACGCTTGCCACGAACCTGAACCTGAGGGGATAAATGTTTTCCTGTATTCTGATTCTGAGTGTTCAGCCCCTCCCTTAAAGAGCCCAGTGTCTGAGGACCCATGCTAGGGTGACCCCTCCACCAAGGCTGCAAATTCTAATACGGACTAGCTGATCAGTCCCCACTCTTAGCAGGTTCCGTGGGCCCACAGCCTCCAACGTTTCAAGGGAAACTGAAATGTAGAGACCTAACTTTGAAATTTTGGAAACTTCTAATGTTAAAAAAAAAAACAAAGAAAGTCAAACTATGTGTTCAATCCCTGTCTGACTGAGCCAAACAAAAGAGGTTTTCTGCCAGCCACAGGCCTCTGGTGGCGGCTTTCAGCCTGCGCCCTTAGGGACTTGGAGGACTGATGTTCAGGCTGCCCCTAGGAAATGTTGAGGATTTGCCATGAAAAAATAGCAGAAAAGTTGCCGAGCACTTCTGAAATGCTTCCGTGTCACTTTAAACTTCCTGTCCAGGCAAGCAACCTATGATCTTGCTCAGTCATTTCCCTTCTTTGACACTCTCTCATTATTTGGATATTTCCACAGGTTTCCAAGAATATCGGAGTGGGCAGTGTCTACTGTAAAACACTTTTTTACTATCTCAGTCGCCAACCAGAGTCAGGCCTCTCTCTTTGTGGTCAAGAAACCTGACCTTCAATAAACCCCACACTAGTTTTCTGGGATATCTCTGACAGGGATCCTGGAAACTTCAGGAAGCCAGAGGCGCTGGAGACAATGCACAAATTTGAAATGGGGTCAATGCCTCCTTGCACCTTCAGCAATTATGAAGAGAGGGCTCCTCTATTAAAAGTCCACTTCATCATCTCACATCTTTCATAATTAACTGAGGGAGAGGAAAGTGTGACTGGGTTTTCATTTGGGAGTAGATTTGCTCGGGGTCCATGCAGCTCCAGAATTTCAATATCTGCTCATTTGTATGGGCGTAAAATATGTACCTTTAATAAATTCTACAAACACTGCCCTCAACTGAAAACTTCCCCGGCCACAGGGCTGTCTTACATTGACACAAAGCAGGTGTTAGGCCACATGTACTTAGATCACCCCAAGAAGAAAAGGCATAGGGAAGTTTTGCACTTTCTAGGAGGACTAGATAAAGAGCAGACAGATGCCTCTGTGTGGAGAAGAGCCTTGTGGAAGCATCAACAGGAGATCAGGAGAGAGACCCCGGGAGGGTGCAGGACACATGAAATAGCCACCTCACAGAATCTCCAGGCCGGCTGTCAGAACACAAGAGGCCTCCCGGTATAGATAGACACTGGAACTTTAAAAGTTACAGGCTCATCAGCTTGATGGTGTTCAACAGTCATGTAGGAGCTTTTAGTTCCTTTTTTATCTGGTTTCTTCAAAAAATAAATGGAATGAGGGCCTTCCGAGATTTGGGATAGTCCTCAAACATCTTGAGGTAGAACCTAAAAGACAAGAAAGGAATAACTATAGTAAGCAGTGGTCAACCATTGAGGTTTGCTGGGTCTGAGATCCTTGTTACAAAGCAAGCTACAGTTACTCAGGGCCTGATTCGTGCAGATGGCCATTTGTCCATCTTTCTTCTCCCTCCTGCATCCTCTCCCATAAATAAATGTTGAAGTTTCTTGTGTTGGGAAATAAAAAGTAATAGCCAGAGGACGGTGGTGATGGTTGCACAACATTATGGATGTACCTAATGCCACTAAATGGTACACTGAAAATGGCCAAAATGGTAAATTTTATGTTATGTGTATTTTATCACAATAAAAAAAGGGAAAAGCTGGAAGGAACTGCTCAATGGATTCACTTGGGTTGAATCAGAGAGCCCAAAGACCACGAGCAAGATTAATCCTAGAGAACTGGCAATGTTCCCAGGAAAATATCCCCTCATGAGGCCTTGGGAATGCCAAGAAAATGTTACCTCATATTCTGGGTTGAATTGTGTCCCCCCAGAATATATGCTTGAAGTCTTAACCTGGAAGACTTACCTGGAAATAGGGTCATGGCCGATATGATTTAGTAAGTAAGGTAAGACAAGGGCATCCTGGAATAGGAAAGGCCCTTAATCCAGTGTGACTGAAGGGGACCAGAGACAGGCAGGGGAGGAGGCCATGTGGACATGGAGGCAGAGACTGGGGATGGAGCTGTAGACCATGGAACACACTGGGTTGGGGGTGCAAACAGAAGCCAGGAGGAGGCAAGGAAGGATCCTCGCCTAGAACCTCCAACATACACTTTGATTTCAGACTTCTGCCTCCAGAACTGTGAGTGAATAAATTTCTATCATTTCAAGCCACTCGGTTTGTGGTCATCTGCTTTGGCAGACCTGGAAGATTAATACATGTTGTGAAATGGCTTTCTCCTTCAGTGACCAGGCTGAACTAGCTAGTTGAAGCTGGTAGCTCTCAAGTGAAAATCACGGGCAGCAAACAGTAATAATATGTGACAAGAGGTGGCTGGTTTCTCATGCTATGCTTAGCGAGATCTGATGAGTCGCTTCTCACAAAGCCCAGTTATCCCCACAGAAAAGATGCCTGGCCTTCCTTATGGAGCAATCTGACCTCACAGGTCAGGGCCACAGTTTGGATTTTGCTGTTGCACCTGCTGGAGACCTGGTGGAACTCCTGTTCCTCCCCTGACCGGCCCAACCTGAGACCACTTCCCACGGTCCCTCCGACTGCTGGCTGACGCCCTCTCTGCCCTCTCCCTCTCCGCCTCTGGTGGGCAACAGACTCTGCCTCAAGAGAGGAGAACGAGGACTGTCTTACAAGCTGGGGACGCCCTGCAGCCCGTCCCTACCAAGGCTAGCAGGTGGCCGGCGCCCGTCATGAGGACAGCTACTATTTCATTCATTTCTGACACATCTGCATAAAGTCCACTCTGAGGAAAAGAACCCATTCTTGGTTTAACCTTCAAAACTACAAAATTAATCATTAGCCCGACTAAAACACCCATGCAGGAGCTTAAGGGGTCCCCCAGGTCCTGGTTCCAAGGCTGCTCCCCCTTTGGCTATCCCTCCCTTGCTCTGTGTCTCTCCAGCCACAAATGCCATTTTAGAGAAAGGATCTGAAGTTCAAGTGCAAAACCCGATAGCAACTTAGTGCGTTACTCTTCTCCTTGCAGTGATGCTTTTAGTTAATGCTTTTGTCCCCACCCCATCGCAGGTACAGGGTCTGGGGGGGCAGGTGGAATTTAGTAAGGCTTTAGGCTAGACCTACAGAGGAAAGGTTCTAAACCCCTACAATTCCTGGCATTCCCCAGGTGAGGGGACAGTCCTGCAATCACACCACATAAGCATTCACTTACCCTACCTTCCCAAGAAGCCAGCCATGACCTTGGCTAGGCTTTATGGAGGGTGGGGTTCACGGATAAAGGGGAGTGCCAGAATAAGCCCTGGTGTCACACAGATTCCAGGAGAATAATCCTGGAGTGTCCAGGGCTCTGTGATTACCTGAACTATTAGCACCAAAGCCAGAATTAAAGATAGTAGCCACACTAGACCAGAGGCTAGGCTTCTCCCTGGCGGTACTGCATCGTGGCTGGACCTCAGGATTATCCGTGAAGCTGTGGACAGTGCTGCCCATGGGACACACTTTGAGAGATGTGGCAGAAGTGAATTTGAATTGAAGCATGGAAATGGAAGATACTTCTTGGACCTCTGGACCCTTACCTAGAGCCCACGCAGGTGAGCCTGGTAGGAGGGCACAGAGCCCAGGCCAACTAACTCCTAACTTCCTTGCCCAGAAGCCTTCTTCTATAAGGTGGCAGGTGGCTTCCCAAGACACCTCGGGTGTGCCTCTCCCTACATGGGTTTAGTTTTACTCATAGGAAAAAAAAAAAAAGTGTTTACGATACTGTCACCCAGCTGAATTCCAAGTTCAAAGTCAGAATTTACCAGTCCGGATTTCTGTATCAACCTTACCTTATAAAAATACATGTCTCAGGTTTCTATACCTGACTCGGAGTGCTGGAAGACGGCTTGGAGCACAAAGCTATGTGATGAATTGAGAAATTTACCTGTGGTGGTGGAAGGCTCGCAGCCCCAGGAAACAGAGTGAGAAAAACGCAAACGCAAGTGCTGGGAGGGACCAAGTGGCCAGGGCATAGCCCGTCCATTCAATGACCTCACCAAGGAAATTGGCTCCGGAAACATACGTAAACAAGCCACCTGCGGGCAGAAGAACGGAAAGGTCCGTCATCAGAACCGGGTCACTGCCACATTCAAACCCCTCTGCTTCGTTCCAAAGCACATAAAGGCAGTTATGACAAATGTGGGGCTGGAGACTTCCTTATGGTCATCGCAGCCTGGCGCAGTCCTCTTGGGGAGAAGGATAAACACAGTGACAACAGCCTGTTGCCCTCAGAACTTCCCGGAATCATGGCCCCAACCGCTTGATGGGCTCCAGCCAATCTCTAGCAGCGACTGCTGCACCCCTTGGCTCCAGGCAAGACAATGATGAGGAGCAGGAGGTCGGGTTTTCGTTTTGTTCCCAAGCCACCTCTCACCTTCTCACCTCTCCCCTGGATGCCCGCACAGCATATTTCAGGTGGGTACTCAGACAAAATGAACAACCCGCTATGTGACAATAATAAAAACCTGTGTTGATGCTAGAAGTAATGACATTTTCCTGTGGCATTTGCCCCTCCCCACCCCTGCAAAGGAGTGTATATACTCTGTTCAAGTTGAAGGAAGTGAGTGGGAGCTGCAGGGGCTTTGCCCTCCTGGGGGCTGGTGAGGTCTGCTTCTGCTGATTTTCAAGGTTTGCTTTTCTATCCAACCATACATGTCTGATATCAAACCTGTAAATAGAAATCAACACATTTCCAATGATAGTTAATGTATCCACTTTCTGCCCTACAGTAAACTAGTTTTTTTCTTTCCATAGTTATATAAAGAATCTTTTGTATTTAAATCATTCTGTAACATACCTTAATAGTTGGAAACTAACTTTGACAATCTAGCTTTTAAGAGAATTCTCTGCTCTTCTTTGTTTGGCTAATTATTGAGTGAATATTTAAAATCCCAAAGCTCCTTCAAGTTATCTTCCCTAAAGATGTCACTACATCAGCAGCTCCAGACCTGTGATCTCCCAGACCCTGGGAGAAACCACTGACCTCCCACAGAGGGTCTATAAATTGTTGCTGGTATATGGGCCTATAAATTGCAAACGGCATATCTCAATATTTGGCATTATTTTTGTTTGATGTAGATACCATGAGGATGTCAGCAACATTTAAATTCATTTAAATGTGTTACTGAATTCATTGTAGCTCTGTCATTATTTTATTAATAAACGAATATCAATGTCATACTGTAATTCAGGAAAGATTTTAAAGTAAATAACAGGTTCTATTTACATCAAAAGGAGCCATCAACCTACCCAAATACCACCTAAAATAGCAAAGGATTACTTGGACTAATTCACTCTCACCTGCTTATGTTTGTCAACCTCGCACCTGGTTTCTTGGGAACAGTTAGGATTTCAAATATTCTGTGACTTTATATCTGAGAAAGCATTTGCACTTGTAAGACCTCCCATCCTAATTTTTGATTAAGTAATTATGGCTCTCCATACCTTTAAGAAAATACAAGTGGCAGGAAATGTGTACAGTACCACCCCTGACTACTCACTAGATGAGTCTCGGTCAACCGGAGAAGACAAGTAATACACAACTCAGCTTTATTGGTTAATTCATGAAGGACCAACACAGCGGGTACACATGATGCTTAATTTTCTGTGTTAACTTGACTGGGCTATAGCATGCCTAGATAGTTGATTAAACATTATTTCTGGGTATGTCTGTGGGGCTGTTCCTGGATGAGATTAACATTTAAATCTATACACTGACTAAAGCAGATCGCCCTCCCCGACGTGGGTGGGCCTCATCCAATCCATTGAAGGCCTGAATAGAACAAAAAGGCCAAGTAAGGGAGAGTCCACTCTCTCTGCCTGACTGTCCTTAAGCTAGGACATCAGTCTTCTCTTGCACACAGACTAGAGCTTACACCACCTACTCTCCGGGTCTCCAACTTGCAGGTAACAGATCATGGGATTTCTCAGCTTCCATGATCACGTGAGCCAATTCCTCATAACAAATCTCCTTATGTTTCTATAGCTGTATCTATATCTTATTGGTTCTGTTTCTCTGGAGAAGCCTAGTACAGTACATGGTAATCTTACCTACTGTAACGAGGTGGCAGCCTATTTCCACCTTACCCCAAGCCTTGCACTCCCCCACCCTCAAGGTATTATGATGTTGCACATTCCCGAGGGTGCCTCTAGCTGAACTTCCAGGTTTAGATCAGAAAAAGCAAACGTGTTGTGGGCTGGGAGGGGATGTGAAGGAGAAGTCAGAGGCAAACTGGGATATATTGTGTCATCTGCCCTCACCACAACCTCTCCATTTGCTACTCATAGCATAACCTCTGGGACGGGCTCCCAAGGAAGAGTGGAAATTTGGAGGGCAGGGGAGATATTACCTTGCGGAATCCTATAGATGACTTCTCCAGGCTTCCTGAGCTGGCGCAATATATAGTCACTATGAATGTTGATTCCCATTCCCAAAATAAATAAGAAGACACCTTAGCAAAGAAGACAGAGGGAAGAAGTTAAAAATGTATCCTGGTGGGGCGCCTGGGTGGCTCAGTCGGTTAAGCATCTGCCTTCGGCTCAGGTCGTGATCCCAGGGTCCTGGGATTGAGCCCTGCGTCGGGCTCCCTGCTCAGCGGGGAGCCTGCTTCTCCCTCTCCCTCTGCTGCTCCCCCTGCTTGTGCTCTCTCTCACACACACTTTCTCTCTCAAATAAATAAATAAAATCTTTTTTTAAAAATGTATCCTGGTTAAAAAAAAAAAAATGTATCCTGGTTTTGATGTTTTTCTCACAAGCTGTTTTTTTTTTAAGTGAAGAGAAGTGCATTTAATTTCAAATTCTGAGAACGTTACAAAGATATGGCAAAGGGTGGCTAATTAGCCGTTGTCCCAAATGTGGGTGGAGAGGCCATATGTGCATAGACCAAAAGACTGAAAATATACAGTGTCACAGGATGGAGGCAGGTGGGAGAGGAGAGAAAGGGAACAACACCATTGTCCAATGAATAAATGAATAATAGCAAACTTTTGGCTCATTCCCAAATAATTAAATTGTGGTTGGCAAACTCAACTGCTAATTCCAAACCCTCCTCCTTTGCCTTCCCCCACTATAGAGGCTGGAAGGCTGAAAAGTGGTCATGTGACCTATTTTTGCCACAGCGATATAAAGGGAAATTTCCTTGGAAATTTTTACTTTCCTGATAAAAGGGAAGATGGGACCAGTGCCTCTACTGCCTTCCTCCCCTTTCATTGCCAGATGTGATGCCTTGAGCTCTAGCAACTGTCTTGCAATCATGAAGTGAATATGATGAGGAGCACAGGTAAACATGTTAAGAACAGTGGAATAGAAAGTATAGGAAGTTCCTGGGATCTTAATGATATCTGTAAGCAACTAAAGGAATGCAGAAGCCACCTACCTTTGGACATTCTTGTTATGTAAGAAATAGACATTCTTAATTATTTAAGTCACTATGAACTGGTTTTCTGTGACTCACTGCTGAGAGCATTCCCAAGTGATATACCCATTCTCATGAAAGTAACATGAGTCAGACTGGGGAGCCTGGCACCTAGCAAACTGGCTTCAACCACTGCCAGTTCACACACAGTCTTGTTCCCCATTCACTGGCTCCGAAAGAAGCCCGGGTCTGAGGTGAGGAGAGCCAGGATCAGGGATGCGAGGTCTTGCACTCCAGTGGGCACCATGACACCCCAGAAACACTCACTGTTCCACATAGATGCCCAACCTCCACCTCTCAACAATGTGTATTTGTGCTGAGCAAAATACATGAGGCAAAAAGCAAGAACACTTGAATTAAAAACAGATCTCCTCTCACCTCATTTGCTATGACAGGAAACAATGAGTCTTGTCTAGTCAAAAGATCACTGGCCGTTGTATGGTGACAAGTGGTGACTACACTCATCTTGGGGAGCACTGAACAATGCACAGAATTGCTGAATTACTACGCTATGCATCTGAAACTAATATAACATTGTATGTCAACTATGCTTCAATAATAAATTTTTTAAAATATTGGCCTGGAAGAAAGGGAAACTAGGGAGAGACACCAAGGGCAGGAGGTTGAAAGAAGGAGGGGAGACAACAGGCACAGCTGGAGACAAAGCAGAAACCTTAGACTCAGGGTCTGTGTGTCCTTGGGCAAGTCACTGACCTCTCAGCCTCTGTTTTCTCATCTGTAAAATGGATTTGAATAGTACCTGTTTCACAAGGATGGCACAAGACTCACTCATGTGTTCACTTGTTCATTCATTTATTCATTCAACCAATATTGAGAGCTTATAATACACCAAGCGTTGTCTTAAACACCAAGGATACAGTAGTGAGAAAATAGTCAAGGTATCTGTTCTCATAGAGCTTACATTTTAGTGGAGGAAGACAGAAATGAATTCAAATAACTAAAATATTTTAAATTATATAATGTCACTGCAAAGCAGAAAATCACAGGATCATGAGATAGAGAGTGAACCGGGGAGGGGAGGAGGTGTCTCTACCTTAGATGAGGTGGATAGGGAAAACTTTTCTGAAGATTTGGCATTTTGTCCTGTGATCTGAATAATAAGAATGCACAGATCTGAGGGAGAGCAATCTGGTATAGGGATTAGCAGGTGCAAAGGCCCTGAGGCTAGAATAGGTTTACTCTGTCTAAAAAAACAGAAGGAAGGCTGGTGTAGTTGAGACTTTAAGACAGAGAGAAAAGTGGGAAAATGTGGACAGGATGATAACTAAAAAAACACACTAAGCACTGTAGGCTTTGGTGAGGAGTTTGGATTGTTAAGTGCAAGAGAAAGCCATTGGCAGGTTTGGAGCAGGGGAGAAATAGGAAATGATTTCCATTTATTATTGTTACAAAGGAAGTAAATATGTTACATGGAATACTAAATGTGAATTAGCAAAAATAAGAAAATCCAGACACCTTATTCCTACCACCCAGAAATTATAACCATTAAACACGTTAGTGCATATCTTTCTAGATTTTCATCTTATATAATATCTAGGCCATATTTCCATTTCCCCAGATGGCCCCAAAATGCTTCTTATGGCTGGTTTGTGAAAACCAAAGTCCAGTATAAGACCATACCTGGCATCTGGTCATTATCTCTTTAAAGGCCATTTTAATCTTGCCCAGACCCTTTCCCTTTAAAAAAAAAAAAAAAAAAGATTTTTTAAATTTATTTGAGAGAGAGAGAGAGGGGTATACGCGTGCATGCAGGTAGAGGGGCAGAGGGAGAGATTCTTCAAGCAGACCCTCTGCTGAGTGCAGAGCCCAACGCTGGGCTTCATCTCATGACCCATGAGATCATGACCTGAGCCAAAACCAAAAGTCAGATGCTCAACCGACTGAGTCACCCAGGTGACCTGACCCTTACCTTTTTAAAAAATTTTCAGGGCACTGGCTTCTTAAAAAGACACCAGACAGTTGTACCTCAGAATGCCCCCCTTTCTAGATAAGACTGGCTCACTTCCTGATGGTGGCATTCAACTTATCTCTTCATTCTCCTTATTTCTTGTAAACTAACATAAATCATTTTCCCGTATGGTTATATTACCAGTTCAACATATAGTTAGGTACATTTATTGGTTTGTTCTCAGTTTTAGGGTCTTCCATGTAGACTTTTTTTGAGTTTTATTTATTTAAGTAATCTCTACACCACATCGGGGGCTCAAACTCACAACCCCAAGATCAAGAGTCGCTCGCTCCACCAACTGAGCCAGCCAGGGTCCCCCATTTAGATTTTTTTTAAACGAAATTATTAAGTTTCATGATTCAAAGGGCAAAATCATATTGAAAGAAAAGTTCTGCCTGCCATCCATTATCTTTCCCCCAGACCTACAGGTCATCTTTTTAAAATTAGTTTCTTTTTTTTTATCAATCCGATATTCCCTTTTCCAGTTTTATACACACACACACACACACACACACACACACACACATTTTCCTTCCATCCTTTCTACATGAAAAGTAGCATTCTAGATACACTGTTCACACTTTATTTTTATTTAACCACATATTCTGGAGATACTTCACAGGAACACAGAGATCTTCCTTGTTTTTGTTTTGTTTGTTTGTTTGTTTGTTTCTGGGGCTCCAGAGCACTCCATTGTGTGCATGTTCAGCATTCATACGACCAATCCTCCAGTCATTTGTGTTTTCAAACGTTCCCTCTGACTGCTGTGTGCAGAAGGGGCTATTGAAGGCCGGTACCGGCGGCAGGAAGCTTAGTGTGAAGGTCACTGTGGCGGTCCCAGCAAGAGGCCATCAAGGCTCAGACCAGGACCAAGTCGGAGGCGCAAGGGAGAAGTGAGCCCTCTGGGTACATGTTATGGAGCTAGATGCAGCCATACTAAACTGACAGAGAATTTGATGTGTGATGTAAAGAGAGGAATTAAGGGTAATCCCAGCATTTTGGTTTAAGCCAAAATAATATACAAACAATTGAACCTTCCCGACTTGAGTTCCTCTTGCAGATAATGAAAAAAAAAATTCAACAGTGTTTTCTACTATTTTAGAAAAAATGGTCAGGAAAAGTCTCTTTGAGGAGGCACTAAATAAAGTGAGGGACCAACCTCCCTGAGTATATGTGGACAGAACATTCTAGGCAGAGGGAACAGTCTGTACAAAAGTTCTGGGGCAGGACCAGCTTGACCATTTCAGGCCCAGCAGGAAGGCCACTGAGGCTACAGCACAGTAACTGGACGGAGGCAAGAAATGGGGTGGGGAAATCGGGCAGGACCAACAACATTTAGGCATCACAGACATAGGCAGTGATAAGGAATTCGTCTTTTATCCCGAGAGTAGCAGAAATGTACTGGAGGATTCTGAGGTGGGGAGTGACATGATTTTCAAAGAGCTCTCTGGCTGTTTTATAGAGAAAAGAGCGGGGTAGCAGGGAGAGAAGAGGAGAATGGAATTCACTGGGGGGTAATTGCAGTGGGTGGGGGGGGAGGTGCTGGGGATTTAGGCGGGGTGTGGGTAAGAAGTGGCCAGGTTTACTTACCCAGGCTAAACCGTACGTCTGTGTACCACTCAGCAGGGTATTCAGCACAGTAAACCAGATAGTAGGCTTGGAGCAGTCCATTTCCCATGCAGAAGACAAACCCTCTGACAAGAAACGCAACTGGGAAAGGCCTCCCTCTAGTGAGCAATGAGTAAACAAAGGTCCTGAGATAGATGGGAAAGAAATGTCAGGATGCAGCATTAAAAAAAAAAAAAAAAATCGAACAATGAGATGAAACAACAATTATATCAAACCCATTTTTAAGGGGCACCTGGGTGGCTCAGTCATTAAGCATCTGCCTTCAGCTCAGGTCATGATCCCAGGGTCCTGGGATCGAGCCCCGCATCAGGCTCCCTGCTCAGCGGGGAGCCTGCTTCTCCCTCTCCCTCTCCCTCTGCTTGTGTTCCCTCTCTCACTGTGTCTCTTTCTGTCAAATAAATAAATGAAATCTTAAAAAAAAAAAAAAACCCATTTTAAAAATCATTTCCCTTGAACTTATGCAAAAAAGAACATTACTGGGGCGCCTGGGTGGCTCAGTTGGTTGGGCGACTGCCTTCGGCTCAGGTCATGATCCTGGAGTCCCGGAATCGAGTCCCGCATCGGGCTCCCTGCTCGGCAGGGAGTCTGCTTCTCCCTCTGACCCTCCTCCCTCTCATGCTCTCTGTCTCTCATTCTCTCTCTCTCTCAAATAAATAAATAAAATCTTTAAAAAATAAAAAAAATAAAAAAGATAAATAAATAAAAAAAAAGAACATTACTCCTCCATAGAACAATCCTTTATGCTATTATTTGTCTTGCTTCATTAAAGGCCATAGTAGTCACCATTGATTACCTTATTTTATTCTCAAACCAGCCTTGAAAGGTAAATTTCATCTCCATCCAGAAGTTAATAAATTCAATCCTATGAGCCCACGATTGGAGCTCGGCTTTTTATCAATCTACAAATGAAACCCAGATGACGCTGGAGAAAGGGAGAGCCTCGCTTGCCCCTGCAGTGGTGGGATGACATTTTGATAGCAGCCATTCCACCGTACAGCTTTCTAATTGTCGCTCTGATATGATTTAATTACCGATATTGTGGCATTTCCTAGGAAGTGGACCGCAGAATCTCTCGAGAAAAGAAAGATATTCCTCTAACTGTTAGGAAGCATGAATCTAGAGGAAGCTAGGAAAAGAGGATTAAAAATATATAAACAGCCTCAAAATAAGATTTGCCCAAGATATAATGCTAAATACTAGAAATCAACTACATTTTCTTTATAATTTTTCTTCTTTTATGGTGCACTATAACAATCATACAGGTGAGTTCATAAACCTACGTGAACAGTTTAATGCATAACTATTAAATAAACACCCATATAATCACTAAACAAGTCAAGAACTAGAACATTCCCTTCACCCCCAGAAGCCTCCCTCTCTATTAACCATACCACTATCATCCCAGAGCTAACCACCATCCTGATTTTTGTAAAAGTCACTTCCTTTTGCTTCTTTACAATTTTACCACATTTGGATTTATGCCTAAAAATATAGTTTATTTTGTTCATTTTTAATTCCATATGAATGGAGTCATATTCTATGATTCTTAGAGTATCCATTAATGTCTTATTTCTTTAACTCATCATATTTCTCAGATTCAAGCATGTTGTTGCATATAAGCTACAGTTCATATGTTTTCATTGTTATTACCATTAGGTATGAATATACCACATATGTTTATCTATTTTACTCTGATGGATATTTGGGTTGCTTCCAAAGTCTTGTAACCTCTCAGAGCTATTTCCCCATTCTTTAATGATTTTACATTTTATGTTTAAACCTTTGAAACATCTGGAATTTCTTTTGTTGTAAGAAGTTAGATAAGACTCCAACTTAATGTTTTTCCTAATGCTAGTAAACTTACTAAATTCTTTTCTTTCACTGACATGCACTCTCATTGGTATTACATACTAATTTATCATAAAAATTGGTTCTTTTTCTAGACTCTTGGTTCTGTCCCATTGACCTATTTATTGTCAGTACTACGCTGTCTTAATAATTGTACTTTTAATATATGTCTTAATACTAGGTGGGGCAGGGGCACCTTCAGCTCAGATCATGATCCCAGGGTCCTGGGATGGAGCCTGGCATTGGGCTCCCTGCTCAGCAGGCAGTCTGCTTCTCCCCCTCCCTCTGCTCCTGCACTCTCTCTCTCTCTCTCTATGTCAAACATATAAATAAATAAAATCTTTAAAAAAAATTAGGTGGAGCTCTTTTTTTTTTAAGTAAACTCTACTCCCAACCTGGGGCTCAAACTCACAACCCCAAGATCAAGAGTTGCATGCTCTAGTGACTGAGCCAGCCAGGCATGGGGGTGGGGAGGCTATTCTTATATCATTACCGTTTTTGAGGATTTTCAATTTATTCTTAATTACTTATTTCTTCATGTGAACTTTAAAACCAATTTACAAAACACCCCCTCCCAAATTTTAGAAATACTCTTAAGTATAAAAATTAATTAAGGGAGTGAAATAGCAGGAGGACCTCCAAGAGTTCACCCCTCCATAAAAGCAAAAAAAAAAAAATTCAGAATCAACTTTTCAAAACTCAGTGTCAGCCAAAGGCTTACATCAACCTGGGGAGCATTTAAGCAAGAGAATGTCTGGCTCTCAGAAAGGGCAACAAACATTGTGGCATTTTCAATTACCCTAGTCCCATTTCCCACTTTCCAGCTTGGCAGAACCTGAAAAGTAACAGCCCACATTCCCAGGATTGGAGAGAGGAAAATGGGGCTGGAACTCTTTCAAAGCCTCAATCCCAAAGAGAAATCATCATTTAACCTGCCTGGTGGTTCCCTAGAAGACTCTGCTCAAAAGGCTAGTCTTTTCCACCTCACTCAAACACACCCAGTGTTCATGTCTTCTGCCCATTTCTTGACTTGAAATCAAGACACTTCTCTGAAGATGACATACAAATGGCTAACAGACACATGAAAAAATGTTCATCATCATTAGTCATCAGGGAAATTCAAATCAAAACCACATTGAGATACCACCTTACACCAGTTAGAATGGCAAAAATCGACAAGGAAAGAAACAACAAATGTTGGAGAGGTTGTGGAGAAAGAGGAACCCTCTTACACTGTTGGTGGGAATGCAAGTTGGTACAGCCACTTTGGAAAACAGGGTGGAGGTTCCTCAAAAAATTAAAAATAGAGCTACCCTATGACCCAGCAATTGCATTACTGGGTATTTACCCCAAAGACACAGATGGAGTGAAAAGAAGGGCCATGTGCACCCCATGTTCATAGCGGCAATGTCCGCAATAGCCAAACTGTGGAAAGAGCCGAGATGCCCTTCAACAGATGAATGGATAAAGAAGATGTGGTCCATATATACAATGGAATATTACTCAGCCATCAGAAAGGATAAATACCCAACTTTTACATCAACATGGATGGGACTGGAGGAGATTATGCTAAGTGAAATAAGTCAAGCAAAGAAAGTCAATTATCATATGGTTTCACTTATTTGTGGAACATAAGGAATAGCATGGAGGACAATAGGAGAAGGAAGGGAAAAATGAAGGGGGGGAAATCGGAGGGAGAGATAAACCATGAGAGACTATGGACTCTGAGAAACAAACTGAGGGTTTTAGAGGGGAGGGGGGGTGGGGGGACGGGTTAGCCCAGTGACGGGTATTAAGGAGGGCATGTACTGCATGGAGCACTGGGTGTTATACGAAAACAATGAATCGGGGATCACCACATCAAAAACTAATGATGTACTGTATGGTGATTAACATAACATAATAAAATTAAATTAAAAAAAACAAAAAGAGAATCATAAGAGGAAAAAAAAAGTACCCAGTGCTAAATGTTTCTGGGGAAGGGGGAGGTTGTTGAATGTTTTACCAGGACAGTGGCCTGAGGCAAAGGATAACAGGTGGGGCAAATAACAAACCCACCAAAAAGCTTTAAAGGAAAGACGGAGGAATGCGATGCCCCTAGGGGGTTTTGAAAATCTCAGGTATATTTCTGGGAATCTAGACTGCCATGACATGCATAGGACCATGCATATGTTCAAAACAGACCTGAAAATGTCTTAAACTCTCACCTCTGATTGACCTTGAGGTTTGCCCAAGTAGCTAACGATGCTAAAAGCAGAGCTGTAAACTACGTGGGTGATTACTGAAGGAGTCTCTAACAGGCACACAGAGGCCCTTGGCAAAGACCAGGAGACATTGGTTCAAGGTGTTTACATAAGGCTCTGTCCCATGGTTAACTGATCCTTGATCTAACCAAGCAGTGACTTCAGTGGCCACAACAATCAAGACTTCAGAGATAGGGCGCCTGGGTGGCTCAATCGGTTAAGTACCTGCCTTCGGCTCAGGTCATGATCTCAGGGTCTTGGGATGGAACCCCTGCACTGGGCTCCTTGTTCAGCGGGGAGCCTACTTCTCCCCATGCCTCAGCCTCTGCTCCTCCCTCCACTTGTGCTCACTCTCTCTCAAATAAATAAAAATCTAAAAAAAAAAAAAAAAGCTTAAAAATGTCCTGAGGGACACAAAAAAAGACCTGAATGAGTGCAAAGGAACCACCTGTACCCGAACAGAAGGGTAATGTCGACAACAGCCTTATAAACATATTGTTACCAAAAACAATACGTTTACTGAGCTCTTATTATTTGTCCCGTTCTAAACACTTTGCATATATTGGCTCACTTAATCCTCACAGCCCTATGAGATGGGCAGATGAAGAGTCAGACAGGGTGCGTGAGGTTAGGTGACAGGGTCATACACTAGTAAGTGGAAGACGCCCTACAATTTAACCACAGAGTGCACCACAGCCTGAATTTTCTCTTAATTAGCTTAAATTTTGAGATATAATTCACATTCCATAAAATTCACCATACTAAAGTATACAATTAAATGGTTTTTAGTAGATCCAAAAAATTGTGCAACCTTCACCGGTTTTCCATTTACCTCTATTTACTGGTTGTTTTACATATAGAAGAAGGCCTTTGATTTTTCTAATATTAATATATTAATTTTGTTCCCAATCACATCCTTAATTCCTATTTATCATAGTTCTTCAGTATATTTTCCAGGATTTCCCAGGTATATCAATATTTGCAAATAATGTTATACTCCACTCTTTAAAAGACCCTGGAAGCCTTCTCTCTCT